ATTAATTAAAATAACTTGAAAAGAGGACATTTTATTTAGAAAAGCCGGTGGGAGAGCGCGAGGTTATAATTTCTTGGTATCTTTAGCTGCTTCAGCAATTTTTCTATCTCTGGATCCATAGGTGGTACCTACATCTTCATCACCTACAGAAAATAAATTAAAAAGGTTCAGTAACTAAAAAATTTTCTTCCTTTTCAAACTTTCTTCATTATCTTTTGCTTACACTTTTTTATCTACATTTTCTTTATGGTAAATCTTTTGCTATGGTAAATCTATTACAAAATTTTACAATGTTGCTGTTTTTAATACAATCACTACTTGAGGTAACTTGAAGAAACATTTTCTGCCTTGATGTGTGTTAAAACTAACACAACTCAGCGCTGAAAAGTTAGCACGATACATTGTAAATATAAAAAGTTTACACAGAATTTGTTTTTTTCTTGGCAGCATATTACAATTCTATAAATTTAAAGACTGCCACATGGCGACTAAAATTCAGTTTTTTTCCAATAGTCAAATCAAATTCCAATAGACACTAGGCGATTGGTAAAAGCTTGAAAAAATGAATAGCCTTGATAACTTGTAGATATAAGTCTTGTTGAACTCTTAAAATTAATTATCTAGTGAAAGTTTTGATACTTTACTATATTTTATTGCAACTTATTTCAAAATAATTCACTACTAATGTAATCTGTTTTTTGCATAACAGCCTGAACTTTGATCACATCAATAATTAATATATAAAATTTAAATCATTAAAAGGATCGAAGGTTAGAAAGATACTTACCTAAATTTAAGGCAATGTTCTGAAGAACGCAACATGCAACTATTATTGACATGCCCAGTTTGAGACAAGAGAACCTGCTCTTTAAAATTCAGTAGCTCCTCTAGACTATATTTCTGGTCAATACACGTGCTTTGTTGTATCTGAAACAAAATCCCAGTCTAATTACAGCTGTTTTTATTACATTCTTTCTATCAATATTAATTTAACATGATATACATTGTGCCTGTCATGCCAGATGATTATAGTGAATTTGGTACATTGCCTATATTATGTTAATAGATTATTAGAAATCTCATTTGCAGATTCGAAGAGTTTGTTTCAAGCATCCGTTTCTATAGATTTTTGTAACACTTTTCAATGGTTGGACTGAAAGGCCATAGGCATCAAAAAACTCCCTGTCCTAACACGAAGAAATTTAAATTTCCAGTGAATGCATACTTGCTAATGGATGCTAGAAGCATTGAAAGAGATACAAAATCCTGAGAGTTATCGAAAAATAATACAGACAAAAATAAAGCCAACCCCGCATTATTAACAGTATAATCTGGCCAAAAGTTCGTTGGAAATTCAATGTTTAAAGTGATTCATCTTTAGTTTATTAATTGATTTTGATACTCAAGCGTCATGACATTGGATAATAATTAGTCATACACTTTTATTGAAATAAGAAAAAATACGTTATGTATATGCCATGCAAAAATATGTACATTTTCGAACATTGAAAAACTGAATTATCTTATGTAATCGTTTTTAAATGAATAAAAAAGATTAATACAATCGGTAGTCTTTTTCTGCCAATCAATCTTGAGTTGAGGTTAAATATAAAAGATTTTGTGAGATTCCCCTTACATCTGCCTAACACATTAGTATAGAATTTGAAAATCGCTACATGGTTAAATGTTTTGATTTCATTAAAAATAGTCCGGAGAATAGAACAATTAGAGAAATAGATAAATTCCTTTCATTACTAATATCAGCATATTATTCAACAGTGTAATAGTTACTATATCTATCGAAAAGTGATAAGCTTCAAAATGATAAATTTTTTTATATTTAATTGTTAGAGTAAATAATTAAAATCTAGGGGGCAATAATTTATTGCCTCATTATAAAACATATCATATGAAATGATTTTATTCGTTAGTAAAATAAAATCATGTTTTAAAGTATAATAATCATTTTAAAATATACGAATGCAATCGCATACCTCCCTGCGCAGGTGATCTAGATCCCAATTCTGGCGTCATTAAAAAAAGGGCTGACAGCTATAGCCATTATAACCTATATGATATAATTCCTAAAAATTGGTTCTGTCTGTAGGTCGAGCAGGCAGCATTATTAGAAAATTGTGCTATCGAGCACAGATCCAGGCTACCTTGCCATAGCATTTCTTATTAACAAATCTACATCGCAGACTGAGCATTTAACGAAAGAAAACACTTTTTACACTGAAATCTTCCAAGAGGAAGAATTCTCACATGAGAGCAATCAATTGCTCCCAGTACTCCAGGAAACCCAGCTATACAGAGAAATTTTCGCGACACCTAAGGGGAAGAAAAGTTTATGAATATTATGTAATTTTAGTTTAAATGTTTTGGGGAAGTTTCAGTACTTTTTATTGCTCTCAATTGTGAGAGAACTTTTTGTATTTTTAGTTGTAAAAAGAACAGAGCTTATAAACAAGAAGGCCTGAGGGTTAAGAGATTGAGACAGCCCCATGTTTGTGTTAGAAATGTTTGGGTTCTTTTTTTCTTCCAATCATTTTTTGAAAACATTACATTATGATATATTTCATTAACCAAGTACTTTCTCACTAAAATTTTAAATTTCTTCTGACATATGTAACATTCTCCCAAGAATTGGAGTTCAACTTTAATTATCGTATGAAAAGTGGGAGAAACTTATTTAAATGGATGTTAAGATTGTTCATACCTTATGTCTAGCTATAAATTGAATATTGAATAGTGCGTAAAGGACAAAACTTAAAAATTATAGTTTCAAATTACTTAATTTTTTGTGATTTATTTATGGTTTGCAAAAAAAAAAAGTTTTTTTTCCCCGCTTTTGTTTGGGCTGTCCTTGTTGCCAAATTAGCCAACTTCCTGCGTGCAACGTGTTCAGTTCGACACAGTTTATCAACTCCCTAAATAAATTTAAAATTTATTTCATTTCGAAGGAAAAAATTTCAAAATAATGCTAGTGCCTTCAACTTTAGCTACATGTTTACAACATAACTTTTCATGTTTCGGTAATCATTGATATTTTTTAAAATATCTTTAAAAAACTATTCCCATGTGAAGGTATATAGTACTAGCAAATGTATGATTGTTTAAAAACAGAGAAATTAGTATTTTCCGTTTGTGTAGAAATAATTTAATAACATTTTTTATGGTAAATTAAATTATTTAATGTAATAAAATATGAATTAATAGTTAAGTATTAGAATGCAAATTGATAAATTTTTACAAACTTTAAGCTTTTTGATTTTGCCTTTATTTTTTATGATTATGTCAACCACTACGTTTTCTTACATCACTTAATAAACAAAAATTTAGCAGATGCATTAAAAAATAACATTCACAGAGGTATAAGCTATATTACTTTTGATGATTATACAATATGCGAAACATATTTTTTTCAATTAAATATAAGACCTCTTACTTTAACTATAAGAAATGATTGTAAATTAAGATAACTTAAGTATTTGCTTGAGTATTATCTCAAGTATTATCTTGAATGTAATTGACAGACAAATATAATTTAGAAATTTTACTTTTGAACAGGTGCTTAATTTTTATTGACATTATTTGCTTTGTAGGTTTTAGCAAGTTAAGTAAAATAAACTTCACTCACCTCTTCACATTCTTCTTTTGTCTTTGGGAAGAAAATAAAGTCCTTGCGCATTGAGGCAAGGACATTGCTGACTCAAAGAATTACTCTGCATACTGTTGGCTGTCTCACCTGGAAACAATCTCCGAGAAGAAGCTGAAAGCATGATAAAGTAGTGCAAGAAGTACTTGCTCTAATAGATATAAGGCATTATTTAATGTAGATGACTGTTCTTAGTCTTTATCTGTGATCGAAATCAGCGTACAAACACTTTCTTTATCGAGGCATAATCTCTTTTTAAAATTTAAATGTTGGACTAATCATCGAATTAATCATCGATTTAAATCATCGAATGGACTTATTCTCACCTTTTCAATGTTTCATGGCTTTCTATTTTCAAGTTTTTCTAAAAAATTCTAGTTCTCCGACTAAATTATAATCGTCCAATAATAAATATAGAAATATGCCAGTCGTGAAAACGGGGAGTATATAAATATTAGTTTACTGCTCATGCGTGGTTACTCTGACCGAGAATATTTTCAGGTTAACTCTGGGTTACGTACACGGTGAAATGAAATTTTGGAATCTAATCTGGTGTTGCTCTTGCAAAACCAGTTTTGACCTTTGACTTAGGATCAGTTTCCATGGTGACTTCGGGAAAACCTAGTTCCCTTAACAAATATTTCAGTTTAATTAACAAAAAGTCTGGCATACTTTTGCTCCTTTGTGACTAATTAATTACCAACCACTCTAATACATGTGGTATATTAAGGGATGCTTAATTTTTTCCGATGAGTAAGGTGAATGATTTATCTCCACAACCTCCAGTAAAAAAAACTTGCTAAAGAAACAAGGTTTAAGCATGTCGAAGTCATTAAGAAAACCCCAAATTCAAGATTTAAGTAGATTCCAAACGAGGACATAAGTTGATTCTGAAAAGTTGAAAATTTTACAGTATATTACAGAACTTCATTACATCAGTTTAAAGTAACCTTTTTTTACACATGCAAGATGGGTATGGTATGTAATTAACAAGATATTATAAAGAGGAGTTATTAAACCAGCCTTGGAAAGTGTTAATCTTGAAAGGAATTTTAAAGTTATTTAGAAACAGATTTTTCGGGAATTTCCTCATTTTTCTAAATTTCATAAACTACTTTTGATATGCATTAAAGTACCTCTTTACTTTCTCACCAAAAGGCTGTTTTTAAATAGCTAATATTATATTTTAACTTTCAGAGCGCATTTCTATTTACCCTTAGCAATCGTATTTTGTTTATACTAAATAGGATTCTGTGTTAGAGAGCAAGTATATGATTATTGCAAAGGAACAATATTTCCTATCCAGTTTAATACTAGTGTCAAAGAGATTAACCATTCAGTATTCTTTTTGAATTATACTTACTTTATTCAATATATTTTGAAAATAAATATTTAAGAAAAACAATAGTTGTAAACAAACAGATGAAAAACACAGTAAATAATTGACATCAAATTCTGGACTGATGGTATGAAGACCAAGACTGAAAGTCCTCAATATCCTTTGAAATCTTTTTTTATATAATTTTTACAAATAAAATGATGGATCTTTATTAGACAGTACTTTTTATTACCAGTAAAGTATAAAGGCCGTCACACAATCAGAATTTGAGATAAAAAGCATGCGGCATTATAGATTCTTTTTAACTTTTTTCTGACAAGATTACACCATTACGATTCTGCAATTCTAATTTTTTTGAAAAGTAGTTAAATAGTATACGGTTGTCTGTTTTCAGATTTTCGATAAACATCTTTGTTTTTGTGCAGAGAACGTAGTGAGAATTGTCCAAATCTGTTTTTGTCAGTTTAAACTAGAATTAATTTTAATTTAAAAAAAATCCATAAACTGAAAGGACTGATTAAAAAACCACAAATAGCATCATTTTTAGTTATAGTTCAATATTCCATGGAAGTTCTAAAACTTATCTCCCTTTAAAGTGTTATTTTTTATCTCTTTTAAAAGCTTCTGTCAAATACTGCGTCAAAATTTTATTAGCAAATAAATAAGAAGAAATAAAAAAATAAAGAAAATGCAAGTCGAAAAATTAACCTAAATTACAACGTGGAGAGGGTAAAAGCCTCTTAAGCAAAACAATACTCTTTTTAGGCCTTCTGAATATGAAATTTAACGAGCACGCTAAATTCAAAACATTCGAGTATCAGAGTTCTAAATATAGGATAGTTTACCATATATGAATGAAAAAAATTTACGAACTTTTAGCATTCGAATTTTGAAATAAATTCCAAACAAATTGGAAAAAAAAATCAAGTAATATATTAACAATTGAGTTGGCCTTTTGAAAACACTAGGTTGCTGACACCTTATTAATGGAAGTTTTTAATTTTTTAGGGATCTCAGATTCGGTGGTTTTTTATTTTTGAAAAAATGTCTGAGATGTCGAAATTTCAAATCGTGAAACGATAGTTTTAAATAGAGACTTGTCTATTTTGTTTTTCAATCCAAATCTCTTATCTTCATAAAAATGAACTGTGGCTTTAATTAGCGAGAAACTTCAAAAATTGAATGCATAATTTCTTCAAATTTAGGAGTTTTTTTTTTCTCTGAAGTTCTCAGATTGAGTAATATCTTCAATAATGATGTTGCTTTCAGGTGGAGTAACAATGTCATCATTGATGTTCTGAATTTGAGTAAAAAAGTTCTAATTACAATTTCCTGCTTGATAATCGTATTTTTTTCACTCTGGTTTTTATTTCATTTCATGAAGGTACTCTCATCATGAGAATTATTCTGAAGACAAGATTCCAAATGGACGACATCTTCACCAGCCATTATGATAACTATGTCCATAATCGGAACTAAATCCACTGAAGGTGGAGACAGTTTCAGTCGAGTATGAATCCCTTTTTGAATTTCCTTCATTCGAATTTATTGTATTTTCTTGGCCACAATTATCAAATCCAGAATAGCTACTTATTGAAGAACTAGTGTCAGATTCACTTTCACTTGATTGGGGGAAACTTAGATCCAATTCAGATGTTTCCAAGTGTAAAGCGTTGCACGGGAAATCTTTAAAACTTTCATTCAATTCTTGTGCTATGACAGCCTTGTTAAAAGCTTTATTGAACTCGAACAGCCCAGTAATAAGATTATAAAAATGGGATGTAGGTCCGAACTTGATTTTTTTAAGTAATATTTCGCGTGCAATTTCAATTTCAGCTAGATAGTTCAAACAAGGTTCAATTTCTGCCGAAGTATATTTTTTCAACTTTCTGTAAACTTTTTCTAGTACATAATCTTGAGAGAAATAAAGCTTCGAAAAAGTTTTATTTAAATAACACTTGGTGTGAAACTCTATAACGCATAGAATTATGAAAGATATTACTTTAATGGCATAATTAATTATTAAATTAATCATCCAACTAATTATATTCAGTCCAGAAACACTGACTATTACTTTCAAATCATCAATCCTTACCTCATCGAGGTAAAATGTTATACGTTGGAGTGGATAAATTTTGAATTTAATTTGAATTTTTACATTCTTAAAAATAGCTCTCACAAGAAATCCTAGACCAATGCTTGCAAGCCTTATAATTCCATCATAATGTATCCTTAATTCACTTGCTTCGAATTCTGCCATCATGCATAGGACTTTGTCATCGTAGCAATAGTTGTAACGGATAATATTAATATTTTTTAAGCCTTCGATTCTGCCATTGAGCTCCATATCGCCATTTATTTTAATAAAATCATGCAGAAAGTTAGTTTTTTTAACTTGAAAAACATAATGGTCGATGTCCCAAGCATTTTCAGAAAATTTTAAATAATTCTGATCTTTGCAGTTATTACCTGTAATGGATAAAAAACATTTCAAAAAAAATTTTTCGAAACTATAATTGTAAAGTTTATTTTATTATTTATTACGTAAAAACAGTTTTAGACTTTTAATGAAGTTAAAATTTAAGAAATATTGAGATTTATGCAGCATATTTTTAAGATTTTAACAATTAAAATTTTAAATAATTCAATATTTTTAATAATTTAGATTATGAACTTTTGCCATATATCAGTGTCAAATGTACAATAGATTAGTAAGATAGTTTAATAGATTAATCAAGTGATAACTACTTCCATCTGTTCTCCCATCTAAATAGTGGTGGCATATTGTCCTCAGATAATCATTAAGTAAAAATTATAACCGTCAAAAATAGTCTTCAAGTGTAGCTCTAGTGTGAGTTGATAACTAAACCATTTAAATATTTTAACCATCTGCAAAATATTTTAATTTTTTCTCAGCTTATCAGAATATTTTATTTTATAACCGTCGTTACAGTTATTACCCTCGTATAACCTTCGTAGATGACTTTTTGATGAAACTAACCCACATTTGCTTTGCATGGCGAGGAAACCTTCCACGGTTAGCCTAACTGCAAGGGAACTCTAATCCATAAACCATCTACCACTGAGGATATTTAACGTCAGCACTGTGGTTGATGCAAGCCAGATGCAGGATTAGTATCGTCCACCTCATTGGAAGGCGAACGCTCTATCCCTGAGCCATCACGGCTCTTATAAGAATATTAAATATTTAGAAATATGTAATTAAATTGGTTTTAAATCTTTGTTTAGCATTAAAAACCATTTACTTTTTTCTTTAGGTAGAATTCAAACAAATTGTTTTTCCATACCACTATCTTTAAATATCAAATTTTTTGTTTTCAACTGAAAATTTTTGTAAAGAAACTATTATTTAGATTTCATTGGTTTTTTTTTAAAAGTTGTTCTTAGCATTGTTTCAAGTTATCACGTTATCTCCATTTAGTGGAGAAAAAAAATAGCACAGTTAACAATGATTTCCTTTTTGCTATTTTTGATCTCTGAAGAATGTTATAAAAATCAATGCAAAGTTTGAAAAAAAACTACATCCACTTATGCATAGACTATATAACGCTTACTCCAGAAAATTTAAATTTGCATTTAAAATGTTCATTTTGAATATTAAGTTAAGGTTGGCAAGAAGTTAAGAACCCAAAAATAAGTACTAAATATAAAATTTAATCTCCAATTATTTTCTGAAACAGAGAGTAAGAGTTCATTTTTGTGAATTTTAGGCTTTGGAAATTAAGTTGCGAGAAGAGTATAATACACAAGCTCTGTTAAAAATACTTTATTTCCTCAAAATTGAAATTATCCTGATAAACATAAAACTACATAAAGAAACCCTATTACTTTATTATATGAATAGACTGATAAGTTGTTTTAAAATTAACAGAGCCAACGGTGCACACCAGATTAAGTTAAGTTAAAAGATGCTGTGCTAACTTACTGTATTGCTTTTCTTAAAGCACCCGGTATATATTTTATGAAGGGAAACTATGATAAATATAAAACTATAAATATAAAACTATAAAAATACATTATGGGTTTGAGATTGAGTTAATCTTTTAGGTTTCACGAAATAATTATCTTGTCAAAACAAACATCAACACAATTTTTTCCTGATAAAGCTCATGAGTATTAACTAATTTAAAAAGTTATAAATAATACCATAAAAAGAAAATATAAAAAGAAAATATAAATCATTAAAAATTTTACATTCAATACCAACTATTTAGCAATTTATAATTTTTTTTTCAAAAGAGGAACTTTTTTTTAACCTTTTTTTTTGGTTGAATTTTTTTGATTTAAAAAGTAAATGAATTATAACGAATTGAAATTCGAAACTTTTTACTTACGTGAAACTAGTTTATTAACTTCATAGACAGAACGTTTGAAGAAATGCATTAAAAAACTGAACACTAGTTTCAGATATGGTTGGAACATTATGCAAGTTTTCTAAATGATAAATTTAAAAATGAAGAATCTTCTTAATAAATTAACTCCTGGATAAAATATTTCAATACAATAAATCGCCTCTCAACAACAAGCTGATACAAATTTAACTAACATTTGAAATTTTAAGTTTTTCACATTTCCGGTTGCCTATTTTTGCCCATCATCAGGACCACTAAAGAGGTGTAGAAATTAAAGTCCCGTAAAGGTCACAGATCAATGCCCTTAAATTTCTTGAAGAACTTCAGCATTTAATAAAAAGAAACAAGAGTCTTAAATTGAAAAAAAAAACATAATTGTTAACGTCAGGACCCGCAGTGGACTGATCATAAGACATGGACCCAGTTCCTCACGATTTACCGTCTGTGGTCAGTGAGCGGGTGGCTAACCACTTTGACTATACTGAGAAGGAACCAAGGGCGTGTGGTATCGATCTTCGTTAAACTGTTCTACCATAAAATGCTCGAGTTCGCGTGCAGGTCGTTGGGCAACCAAAGCGGGGAAATCATTCAATCTCTATAGAATCAAAATTGTGATGGCATGTCTTCGTTTGGATGTTTACCAGACCGTTGCTAATAGCCGACTGTGCAGTTCTAGTGTGACGTAATCAAAGTACTACCATTACTTGAAGTTGATAAAGGCTTAAATGGAGTCTCCCTGGCCGAGCGATCTCTCAGTTTCTCCAATCGTTTTGTTACGTAGAGGAAGCGGGTTCAAATCCAGCCGTATAATCTTGGATGTATCTTAGTGAAGACTTATACTATTTTGTTTAATTTCTTTTATTATTACGCATACATATACGGGCATATCATGTGCTCATTACAAAGACAGCCTATAAGACCTTGTCAAGCTACAGTAAATTAGAGAAGGACATTACAAAGATACATCCAAGGTTACGGCGGGATTTCAACACGCTACCTCCACGTTACAGAGCATTTGGCGGTACTACAAGAAAGCTCGGCCACGAGGCCCCATGATGAATGATTTGGAAGGTTATTTTTTAAAAAAAGAGCTGTGTTAACTACCGATTATTTTAAACCCTATCTATTCTTTTACTTGACAAAGGTATACAAGCCTTAATTGAGCGCACAAGCCTGCAAATGTATGTTGTATCAATAAAACAATAAAAACAATAAAATTATCGTCCCGAACAACAATTATCGTCCCGTTCCTAAGAGCACGTTGCCCAGTAGGACACCAAAGTCAAGCATCACTGGCTGCTGTCTGCAAGCGGGTGGGTGACCACTTTGATCAGTTTGCTTAAGGACCGAGGGTGCAAAGGTATCGGTCCTCGCTAAACTGTTCTACCGTAAAGTGCTCGACTTTACGCACAGGTCGTCGGGCTACCAAAGCGGGGGAACTATCTCCTCTGCAGAGGATCAAAAAATTGTGATGGCACGTCTTCGGATCATCGTCAGAGATCATCCTATGGTCATCCTAGAGCGATGTAAATAAAGTACCTACCTACTTCAATGTTTGTTTTGAAAATATTTAATTGAGCTCACATGCCTGCAAATGAAAGTTGTATCAATAAACCAATAAACCTGCTTTGAAAAACCAAGGAAAGAGAGAAACATTGAGATTCATTCTCTTGAATCTTTGAATTTCGTATTCTAATTCGATGCTTCGATACTGAAGAAAGTTCTTCACATACTGAAGCAATCCGTCCTTTTTGTTTTTATCTGTTCTTTCTTACAACATTTTAAGTGTATTTATTTGCAAATGAGCTTTATTAATCCTTATTTATCCAATTTCCTTTAAACTTGAGTTAATCAGGTATTTTTATGGTCATTATGCATGGTAAGAACAACATGATCGTCCTTGTTACGTTTTCTGCGTTGGCTGGTTTATCTATAATACGTAGGTGGATCAAATATCAATGAGACTTTTTTTAATTGCAGTCGAAGATTTTTATTTTCATTGTCATAACAACAATAGAGTCTAAATAGTTATTTGGCTGAGTTCAATTCTTTGTTATTATTATCGTTTTTAGTAACTTCAATCATGAGTGAGCCTAACGTTCCTAATGCAGTTGCACAATGCATAATAATTAAATTTTTAACAAAATAAAATGTCAAACCTTTTGAAACTTTGCGCAGATTACAAACACAGTTCGGCAATGGCACTCTGCCGAGGATTCAAGCATGCTAATGGATCAAGTTATTTAAACAAGGATGTGAAGGAGTTTAAAACTTATCTCATGCTCTTCGACCAAGAACGTGTCTTACAACTGAGAAAATCGACTAAGTTCGTGACCTTATTCATAATGACTGACGAAGTAAAGTTAAGAAATTAGTACTGCAACCCAGATGAGTTACGGAAGTATGCAAAGTATAATTAAGGGCGATTTAGAATATTGAATAATCTCAGGAACGTAGGTGCCTAGAATTTTGAACACAAATCAAAACGATGCAAGGAAAGACAGTTGTCAAAGATTATTGAGTCGCTATGAAGCAAAACCCCCGTTTCGGTAGCCCGTCGACCTGCACGCGATTAACGATAGAACAGTTTAACGAGGACCAATACCGCACACCCTCGGTCCATACCAAGACTGATCCAAGTGATCACCCACCCGCACACTGACCTTAGCCAGTGATGCTTGACTTCGGTGATCTGCTGGGAACCATGTCTAAACGATCACTGCGGGACTTGTGAACTTTCAGAGAAAGTCAAAGCAGCCTATCAGTCCAAAAGACGCAGCATGCCGATCTACAAAGTGCTCTTGAAGCAAGACACCTCATAAAGCAGCAGTAGCACAATAAAAGTTACAGGCATTACACGCGGAAACAGTTGAACATCCTCCATACATCCTTCTGGTCGTGGCATTGGGGGGAGCAAGATTTTCATCTAATGAAGAGGTAGAAGATTTCGTGCTTAACTGGTTCACTACACGCCAACTTCTTTTTATGTCACCACGGTAAACCAAAATGTTGGAAAAAGTATGTAGAAGCTCACATTAATCATCTAATGAAAAGGTAGAAGATTTTGTACTCAACTATTTCACTACACGCCAACTTCTTTCTATGTCACCAGGGTAAACCAAAACGTTGGAAAAAGTGTGTAGAAGTTCACGGTAATCATCTAATGAAGAGGTGGAAGATTTTGTGCTCAACTGGTTCACTACACAGCTAACTTCTTTCTATGTCACCAGGGTAAACCAAAACGTTGGAAAAAGTGTGTAGAAGTTCACGGTAATCATCTAATGAAGAGGTAGAAGATTTTGCGCACAATTGGTTCGCTACACGTCTAACTTCTTTCTATGCGAACAGGATTAAAATATTTCCAAAACATTGGATACAATTTTTTTGCATTTCCATTTTTAAGAGATCTTATTTCATAAACGATATCGATAAAAATTAAAATTTGCGTTTTTAAATGAAAAGGGGGGAACTTTCAAAAGTTGAAAATACGTATTATGAAAGGTGTATCATAATCACCAAGTTTAACATGCAATTCCCAAAAATAAAGCAAAAAAGAGTACACATTGAATGCCACAAACTAATATGTAAGTAAAAAAATATATATATATAAAAAAAAAACGCTACAAATCACTATTGAAGAAAGCCGGGTTAAATCACCGAAATCTGTTGTTTTAAAATCTCCTCTCTCTTTCTCAACGCAATTACAAAGGTTTTAATCTTTTCAATATCACTTCCTCAAAAGTACTTTTTTATATTTCAATAGCATTTTTTAAATGAGACACTCAGAGAGACTCTAAGGAGTATAGTTTTTTTTATTGATTTTTGACGAAACTTCTTTGGTTGTTATTTCAGATTACCCTGTCCATCCAAATCCCACGAATTTTATCAGTTTGATTTCAAGCTAGAACAATTATTCTAAAGATATGAAATTTAATGAGTCACTGCAAAATTTAGAAGTAAAAAAATATGATAATTTACGATAACAACTCGGAGCAATTTCTAAAATTGGTCTAAAAATAACTTCTAAATTAACTCCCTAATTAACATATAATTTTCTGTAATCATTTTAAGCTTTTATCGCTTTAAATATGGTTTATTCCTCTTTCAAAATTTTGTTCTTTAAGCAGTTAATTACCTCTCTCATGGCCCAGTCATGACATATTTTTGAAAATTTTCAGAAACAGTACATCTTTAACGAAAGTTTCAAAGATTATGGGGATAATTAAGAAATTACATTTCTCCCTAAACCTATAATCTTAGGATTACGTTTCATAACATTTATTAGAATAAATCTCCTTTGTGGGTGAAAATGTACCACTTTATGCTTCTAATATATTCTTAGGCATTTTTAATAACATACTTTCTATAAGAATCGGATCATATAACCAAACAAGAAGAGCTTTCTTAAGATCTTCAGAAAGATTAAATCATGATTAAATGTTTAAAATCGTTGTTTGAAATTTCCTTTTAAGTACTTTCTGCCTAATGAGTAGTGATTTTAGGAAAATTAGTTTTGAGCTTTCATTAGAAGATCGTATAAGTGAAAGCAATTTCTAAACAGAAAGAATATTTAAATGAAAAAAAATATTAGAAATGATTTAGAAACGTTTCAATACGATTCTTTTTTCGGCAGTATTAATTTAATGTTTGACGAAGTCATTTTATTTTTTTCATGATATAGACATTCCTTGGACTCATTTATTTTTCCTCCTGTGAGAATTATATATATATATATATATAGAGAGAGAGAGAGAGAGAGAAACC